ATGTACGAGCTCCAGCAAAAAGTCTGACGCCAGTGTTTCGTATCAGACTTATGGATTTGGTTTAGGTGGAGTGAGTGTGTTTCCTTTGTATTCATCACAAGCCAATGGAATAAATACTGATTGCCAATTATGTTAGAAAAAATCGGCAGGAGTGCTTGACAAGAAGATTGCTTGTGATGGTAAATCTAAGTCAATCAAAACTGAGGAGCTACAGGGACACAATGATGGATGGAAAGAAAAGAAAATAAAACCGGAACTCCCTGATCCCACCGCAACTACAGCAACACCTTGGATAATCAGGCCCTTGCCAAATTGCGAAACGAAATGACTTTTTATTCCAAGCTGACCCTTGCAATCAACCTTGCTTTTTTGCCAGAGACATCAGATGTGGCGGTCAAGGCAGTGGATTACTTGAAAGATGAGGGGACTGATCTTGTTCAAGAGAGATTGAAGGTTGAAAAAAATGAGATTATTGCTTGTAAGTCTGATATCTCATGCCAAACTCCTGATGATTCTACAGATAAAAGAATACTTATTTTGATGATGCTGCAGCCCGCACAGTCAGTGTGAATACACAGATCCATACCCATCGCGATAAAAAAAATGCCCTGTTGTTTGATTCAGTTTACTTCTTTGGAAATCACGGTGGTGGCAACTTTATTTTCCCATCCTTAGGTGTGGCTCTCACTGGTCTTCATGGCTACTCTGTACACGGCCCTTTCAGGATCCTCTACCATGGGGTGGCGCAATACCATTTCAAACAAGATATTCCCGATGCCCCTTGCCGATTTTCTGTTGCCATGTGGAGCCGTGAGAGTTCTTTCACTTTAATTGCTAGGCATTCTGCCTACCACAAGAAGGATAATCAAGTAAGATCTCACAAATCAACATAGTCTGTTCTAATTTAACAGCTGATATTGTATATTGATTTGTGCCAGAAATACAGCGACTCCACCTATTGGCTACCAATTTATCCTGAATACAAATCCGACTCTGTCAGAGAGTACTTTGAAAAGTACCATTCTGAATCAAGAGACAGACCAAGAAACAACCAAGCCAAAAAGTAACAAAACTCAACCTCTTTTCCTTACTTGAATCATTGAACTCGACCTCTTTTTCTCACTTGAATCATTGAACTCCACCTATTTTCCTTACTTGAACCATTGAAGTCTGCCTATTTTCCTTATTTGAATCATTGAATAGCTTCTAAACATATAAGTCTCATGAAATAAAAATCCCCAAATTGCGTTGCCTGCCCAAATTTAAAGTTGTCCCTTCACAATGAATGTTATTAAATTCATTTTTGAGAGATTTTGTAAGACCATTAGGCTAGTTCAAAAAGAAAAACATAACAAAATATTTCTTAAAGTTATGGTGAAGTCCCCTGCACAACATAAGCAAACATTTAAGGGACTAGTAGTGCAATAAAAATGCCCTAAGTGAACTGGGCTAATATATGAAAAAGGTCAAGTGATTTGCAGCATCTAATCCAAAAAGTTTGAGAATGATAGAAAATACTGAGTAGTCATCAACAAGTAGATATTATCCTATAATTGAGAAATGAAAAATATAATCTTGACTGCAATAAATTTTACTCTTCTTCAGTTTCAGTATGTTCAATTTTAAAGTGGCCGCTTTTAATGTCAGCTAACCATCTTCTCCTATCACCAGTGAGAATTTTTTCAAATCCCTTCTTCAAAGACTCTTGGCTCAGCTTAGAGTGTGCTAACTGAACCAATTTGAGCTCCGGATGGCTGACTGCCAAAGATCCAGCTGGATTTTCGGTCTTGGGGAAAACAGCTTCCACATCGCCACCAAGGGCATCAGCTACAAAAAAGACAATTTTTCAGCTACCTGTGCAAATATACTGATAATGAGAATAGAAAAAACTAACTCAAGAGGTCGTTAAGTGCTTGCCTAAGTTTTATTTTTACTAAGTCCGAATCCTTTTGTTGCTTTTGACCAGCTGATCCGCCAACAATTTTTTCCAAATCGCCTTGTATTTCACGTGCATGGCTGTAGGCTTCAAAAGTTTCTTTTGCCGACCATTTCTTCTTGGCCAAGGCAAGCCATGCCGCATCGTTTGAGTACTCCTTACAGAAACTATTTTTCCCCGGAGATCGTGTGGCTGTCAGTAGATAGTAGGTTGTATTGTATACATTCGAAATGGTGTACAGCTGGTTTGTTCATAAGCTGCCATTAGTGTACAATAAAGTGAGTAATTTTGAAATAAGTAATTCACTCACCTCGGAGTTCAGCTTGAGTGTGGCACTCAAAGCTTTTTTATAGGTTTGACTGGTATTTTCACCCTGACATTCCGATCCTTTAGCAGCAACTATGTTAACCTTTTCGATGTTCACCAACTTATCGTAAAGTGGTTTATATAATTCGATTTCATCAGTGGTCAAATCCGATTCTTCTTCATCGTCCTCAGCCTCATCTTCAAAGTCGCATGGTATTCCAGAGAAGTGTTGGAAGATCCGGGCACTAAAAACAGCCCTCTCATCAACATCCAGCAATTTCCAAGCCTTTCCAATCTCTATGTTTCGCTCCTCCCACCCTTTGGAGGCACCCTTTGGCGGAACTGTGATAGGGAAATAATCAGTGTCAAAGATGTTTCAAAAGATGTTTCCAGAAATTACCTGGATATTTCAAACTCTCAAGGCTGAATGCAGCAAATTGGTTCCATCCACTTTTTCTACGGGGGGGCTTGTTTTCTCCGCTGAAAAGTTGATATGAAACATCATCAGTTCTAATCCTTAGACTGAAGGTAATGTATGACTTAGAAAAAAAACTTACAGAAACTTGGTGACTGTCTTTTCGGCAACATTTCCAATGAGAGCCAACATGAGCTTGCTTTTCATATAGTTTTGCTGAAGCAACTCTAATCTTTCTTGAACCTCGGGTGAAATGCGAATATTGGAGGTGCCGTGTTTTTTCTTCTGCAAGGTGGCTCGGAGTTTGCTTAACGACCAAGATTCCAAGTGGGATTAAAACTTGTCCAAATCCAAACCGACTTCTTCATCTTGGGGTGGCCTGTTTGATGTGTGTTGGTTTTTGCTGGTTGGGTTGGCTTGTTTGGTTTTGGAACTGGTTGGATTTTCGGGTTCATCTTCAGAAGTGGAATCCGGATCTGGATTGGAATTGGAATTGGTGGAGATTCTGGGGCGCTTTCTGCTTGATTTGGTCTTTGAGGCTTGACTTTGTCCACCAACATTAGATTTCACTCTAGTTGTTTTTTTTTTTGAGAAGAGAGCACTGTAGATTTTCTATTTTGATTTAAGGTTGTCTGTGTATGTTGGCTGATCGTGTTCGCATTTTGGTTTTGGAAGATGTGTAGGTGGGTGTTTGTATGTAGATGTTTGAGTGGTTGGAGCTGTGTGGAGGTGAGTGGATAATTGACTAGGAGTGTTGGGGAGGTGGGTGGAGAAGTCGGAGCCGGAGCTGGTGGGGAGGTGGGTGAGGGAGTTGGGTTTGGGGTTGGAGTTGTATTTGGAGTGGTGTGGAGATGCTTCAGTGGAGGACTACTGTCTTGGATTTAGAGTGCTTTTTAGACTTCACTCAGTCCTAAATTAACAACACTGGTAAGATTTTAACCAGCTCACATTAGAGCTGTTTCCGGAAGGCTTCACAAAAAATGTTTTTTTGATGAAAAGAATAGATCTAAGCAGTGTAAATCAACTTCTGGGAGGCTCATAGATTGGGAAGTCCTCCAGTTGGAGCTGTGTTGAACTTATTTCGCACAAAGGCTTGTCTAAGCCCATATATTTGGGTGCCAATGTTGAACTTTCCAAACAAGATTTTTTCTGGTGATGGCTGGCTAATATCTTTGGGTTCAGTCAAATCACTCCATTGGTTGTAAAGAAATATAATATTGTTTAGTGACAAAAATATAAAGAGGGCTGGTAATTACCTATGGAGGGCTGGTAATTACCTAAGGGCAGGGGTGCCTTTTTGCAGGTTGTGTAGGTTAAGCTGGATTGAGATGGATTGGTTGGATGAGGTGTATACAAGAGCAGTGTGGAGCTATTTGGAGCTGCTTGGGTTGGCTGAGGTGTGTACAGGAGCTGTGTGGAGCTGTGTGGTGGGAGCTGGGTTGATCTGGATGGATTGGCTGAGTGGGAGCTATTTGGAGCTGCTTGGGTTGGCTGAGGTGTGTGCAGGAGCTGCGTGGAGCTGTTGTGTCTTGGGAGCTGGGGTGAGCTGGATGGATTGGCTGAGTGGTAGCTGGGTTGAGCTGGATGAATTGGCTGAGGTGTGTATAGGAGCTGTGTGGAGCTGTGTCTTGGGAGCTGGGGTGAGCTGGATGGATTGGCTGAGTGGGAGCTGGGTTGAGCTGGATGGATTGGCTGAGGTGTGTACAGGAGCTGTGTGGAGCTGTGTCTTGGGAGCTGGGGTGAGCTGGATGGATTAGCTGAGTGGGAGCTGGGTTGAGCTGGATGGATTGGCTGAGGTGTGTACAGGAGCTGCGTGAAGCTGTGTCTTGGGAGCTGGGGTGTCAGCGCGTCTCTTATGTGACCTGGT